GCTGACGAATGTGATCTTTTTGCACACGGCGCGGATGAGTTGCAGCACATGACTAGTGCTCTGGCTTCGACAGCGGTCAAATTCGGGCTCACCATCAACACAAGCAAAACTGTCTGTTTCTTTCAGCCTTCATCGCAGGTGTAATCTGCAATGGTGCCGAAAATCAGCATTGGTGATGAAGTATTGGACACCAGCTTCCGCTTCTGCAACCTTGGGAGTGTGGTTTCGACTGACCAGTAAATTCACAGTGAGCTGCGTATCCGCGTATCGAAGGCAGCGGCGGCATTCAGGAAGCTTAAGTACTGAGTGGGGAACAACCATCAGTTTACCTTTGGTAGGAAGCTGATAGTGTACAAAGCCATGGTGTTGTCCGTACCTCAATATGGTAGCGAAACATAGACGACGTACTAGCGAGATGTGCGATATCTTGAGCGGTTTCATCAAGAGTGTCTGCGACGGATTTTGCGCATCAGTTGGTGCGATAGAGTTGCGGACACGGAAGTGTTGCGCCGAAGTGGAATGTATGCAGTGGAATGTACACTTTTGCTGAGGCACTTGAGGTGGGTCGGTTATGTGCGGCGTATGGATTCGACGCGAATACCGAAGCAGCTTTTATATGGTCAGCTGAGTGTTGGAAAGCGGCATGCGGAGAAACCGAATCCTCGTTAGCGCGACATGATCAAAGTGAGTCTAACACACTCTAATGTTGATTACAGATGTTCGGAAGCGAAGGTGGTTGATCAGTGTGCAAGGCGCGATCTGCTCACTAAGACCGTTGCCGAGATGCAAGAGAAGGCCCTCGTGCATGCAAAGAAGCGGGGACTGCGGAAGAGACAGTCGTCGATGAGTTGTACTCCAGCGACGTCGAGCGCGGTGTTGTAGCACATGCGGTCGTGAGTGCTTGAGTGAGGTAGGAATAGTTAGGCACGAGCGAGACCAATTTGGACCAGCATGGAAACGACGATGCGTCCAGCTGAGAACGTAAGCAGAACCGGCGCAGCGTCTGAACGTATTCCGCCTTCGATTTACTAACCGCGTGCTTGCGTGCTGAGTTGCTTTGTCCCAGGTGGTGGGTTTGTTATTGTGTCACAATGCAATTTTTTTTACCTCACCTGAACGTTTACCTGAATAAACTTTTATTAACTTGCACACTTCGTTTAAGGTAATTATGTTTAAGTTCGCTAACATTTTCGAGTTTGTGGGACTTTTCTAAAAATATATTTTCTGACATTTTTCGTTAATCGCGGAGTTGCTGGTAACTAAGTAATTATATATGTTCAATTAGCGTAGATATATGTCAGCATTTCCGTATGCTTTCTTCCATATATATATTATTTGTTATTATCAGTTCAAGTGAGTGGCTGTTGCTTAAGATCCCCAGTGTGGCTGCGCATGATGTGCATGTTGACAAGGTGCCTACATGTCTGTTACCCATTAACTCGTTCATATTGGCTCCAGGAGACAGTTGGTCGTTGCTGGAGGGGACGGGGTGAGCGGTCCTCATGACCGTGCTCGGCTCGAAGTGTGGTACCATCCAGTGTGGAGCGGACCACGGTCCAGCCTTGTGTGCGCTTGATTCCCAAATACAGCGTGCATGTGTTTGCCTGTGAAGAAGTGTGGGCCGGCTCCGTTGATGAAACGTGGCTCCGATCCGCATGTCTCCCGGTCTTATTCCTTCGGGTTTACACTGCATATGGGATGTATGGATGGAGCTGTGGGTGGTGCATCGCAACCCACCCATGGTCCCTCTGTAGGCGCCGGCGTCCTGTGACTGTCCTATGGAGGCCACAGTGACAGGCAAATCCGGAACAGGATGCCGCCAACTATATTTCATCGGAAAGGAATCGGCGCAAGCGAAAATTGTTTATGAGCGCCGAATATCTGCACCCGAGACGTACGACTAGGATCCGTCATTAAACAGTTTATCTACACAGCAGAGTACACAGCTAAATCTGCCAACGGTTGAGCAGGAGTACTTGGACTACAGTCAAGCTACCTCTGGAAAATTTGACAAACAGTTCGACTACTTTTTCGAAAGTCGGATGCTTGACAGTGGGCAACGGGACTCACTTGTCGCATAAATGCTGTGATCGCGCCAAAGTAGCCATCAGCTAATGCGTGGTATTAGCCCCTGCGAATACTTACGGTAGAGCAACAGATGTTCTTCGGGAATCCGCACGTACCTCGGAAAGGAGGCGATGTTACCGATGATACGGAGACTGCGGTTAACACCCCGTCGCAATCTCACACCGTGCGACCAGCAATTGCAAACCCGACCTCACTTATAGGAGACTGCATATCACTGTTTTACCCTATCCCTTATCTTTTGGTCATCCCGCCCGGTAACCATATTGAAGGGGATTTGCTTCCCTATTCCCAATTCTGTATCGATTGTTGATGCACAGGAAGCTAACTAAATTTAAAGCTGACACTTTTGTTCACGTCTAAATCTTGTTGCTTACTTGTTCTTGTTCTTGGTTAGTTGTTCTTGCGATTTCACGTAACTTGACAATATGTCTCTTAGTCCAATTCAAACCCACGCGCGTTCGTAGTATTATTGCCCATGAGGTTTATTGATTCTCTATTCAATTTGCGATAATTCATACACAAATGTTGGCAAATGCATGTGCACATGTTGGATTCGAACTGACATTGTGTAGTTGCCAAGATCCAGGCTGACGAAGTATATGATATGCTTTATCGTCACACTACGGCTAAATTCGACGGACTGTCTGTCGGACGTGCGTTTGACACATGAAACCGCCCGTGTGATATACAATACCTGGCTGTTCTTGATGTGATGGTTAACAGGATGCCTGCCGGTTTACTCCACCTTGATTGTACTACCTCCAAGAGACTGTGAATCATAGTTGAGGGGGATGGGTTGAACGGTCCTCGTGATAGTGCTAAGCTCAGAGGGTGGATCCATCGAGTGTGGAACGAGCTACGACACAGCCACCGTCATGTGAATGTCGGATACGCATGATACTGTACGTAGAAACGCTGTTGCTGTGCATGAAGGAGTGTGGGCCGACTCCGTCGATGAATCGCGCCTGCTATCCACATGCCTGCCGGTCTTATTCCTTCGGGTTTACATTGGATATGGAATGTGTAGTGCAACGTAAGCCACCCATGGTCCGTCTGTAGATGCAAGCACCATGTGGTTGTTGTCCCCGGGGAGGCCATAGTGACAGGCGCATTGGGAACCGGACGCTACCAACCCAATATTTGGCATGATAGAAGTGATGGAAACCACATTCAGTAACTCATTAATTAATAACTGTAAACTACGCGAGTGAATTCCAGCAAAATACGGTTCCGAACAAGTATGCCACATTGGGAATTTGAAGAGTTCAGCAAGTAATTGCGGCCTCAATGAAGTGGAAGGGCGGAATATTGTGGTATAAGAAGTGAATTGATAAGGTTCCGTTTAAGTTGCTCAAATTGCTGTTAGTAAAAATCTAGACTGAGGAGATAGTCATTATAGTACTCGTCAGTTATCTAATCAGGTCCATACTCACAGTTAGTATGTTGGTGACGTAAACCAAGGATGCTGAATGTACCAACCTATTGTGGTCGATTAATCCAATAAGTGTAAGAAAAATACGAAGTGTGGGGGGGCGGCTACAAGCCTGGAAGCAAATTACACAATCTCATCAAGGTCGGGTAATTAGCAGCGTGCAGGTGACAGCAGCACGGTTGGCGCGCTGACTTTGTGGGAATCGCGGACATATAACAGCATCATACGGCGGTGGTTGGGGATGTATACGGTGGAGATAAGGGAAAAGTTAACTAAAAGGAAGAAACGGAAGGAATGGGAGCTGAAAAGGCCGGTTAGGTGTTTCAGTCACTTCAACTGTAGCAAACTAATCTAAGGAAGAATCTGTCAGAGGAAAGAGTAGCATATCCGATAAATAAAATGGGTCGGGAACGGGTTTCCGATAACTCAAGTGATATAAACTGAAAATAAAGAACGTTTGATACCACCGATGCAGATCGATGGGTTCGGATACGGCCGAATCGCCCAAACGTAGAAGGAAAAGAGCGTGGATACGCAGATGAGAGAAGAAATAGCAGATGAGTGGCCGGTTAAAGAACATTATCGAGGGAACAAGGTGTGAGACGAACGCTGTTCCGTTTTGGAAGTGTTATTCCAAAATGAAACCACACTGTAGAGGACGACCAAGGGACCGAGACAAGTTGAATTTGATTCCCGTGCCCAGTTGGAGCAAAAAAATGAGATATAGTGACGACAGGGAGCTAACCGATGAGAAGTAACGGAATGATTGATAGGGCTGGGAGGATAAGATAGTGGACATGAGCGTTTTCGTAAGTGATGTGTGTACAATGACAGCGACCCAGTGTAGCAAGGATGTCTAGCGCACAACCAAGTTAGTAAGCCAATTGCCGTGAGATCAGTAAGCGTCGGTATAACAATAGCAATGAGAGAAGGTGAAAAGCATGGGCGTCAGCCAGAGGCAACTACAGTATTTATATGCTAAGATACAATCTCAAAAGGAAGGCGATCAAAAGCGCTACGTCTGAGGTACGCACCCAACTAGAAAAGTATTCATGCAGGCATTTCCCTTCACGAATTTCAATAGGGCAAGAAGAGATAACATTTTAAAAGACTTTACTGAATTCAGCAATTTCGCGTATTCACCTCAGCTGTTTGCATACAATTAGTGGAATAAACAGGACAATCAGAGTGCGATGTTAACAGCAAAAATGTAAAGCGGTCGCAGGCCATTAGGTTCACATGACCCGTTCTGAGGAAAACGTAACCAACTAGCCTCACTAGGGAAGGGCGACCGTGGTCACGAAATCGGTTTGTTTGCACAAATCTGGTTTCAACCGAACCTGAGGCGGTGGCGATTGTATGTAAACAGCTGAGGAGAATAGGCGAAATTGCTGAATATACAGTAAATTCGGTTAAAATGTTATATTATCTCTGCGATCTAGAAAAGTATTCAATTGGTCACGGACCAAAGAGCACATACCTGGTCATTGAAGCGGCTGGGGTGCCAGGTCGAGCAAAGAACTGGTTGATATATAACACGGGGAAGCGGAATTTTTCGACTAATTTTACGGTCTCTTCGAAATCGGCTTCGGTCTCGTTGGGAAACCCACAAATAATGTCCGTGGCGATGGTTAGGGATCCGGAAGAAGTTGTGGGCTGGACTGAAGCACTAAATAGGAGTAGAACACAAGAAAGTATGGAAGATAAACCAAGCGATTAGGAGAAGAGATGTAAAAGCGGCGCATTAACCATTATTGTGAAGCGACTGTGGAAGCGGCCAGTTAGCATTATCAACCAACTGTAGCAACATGCATTAGTTTGAACAAGGGAAAGTGAAGATAATATGCTAACAACGTATTGGGGCAAGACAAATACTGGAGGCCCTAAAGTCAAAACACCGATTTGTTTGAGCAATGTACAGTGACACATGCAAACACATTGGAAGATGACTGAGACCAGAGGCGAATAGAATTGATGCGGTGCCAATCGAACGAAGGCAAATCGGACGGAAACCGAACACATACGACTGATCGGGTCCAGTGCAAACGAGAAATGAATGATTCAAGTTGGTTCATCCCAATTAGATTCCAAGCCGCATAGGTAAGCTACCAATCTGGAAAACCACCAACCCATGACTGCTAGAGGCTCACGCCAATTAGCCAGGTGAGAAATGAATGACCAATCAGACGCTGTTCATGAAAACTGATCACGCTGAATGCATCCGAGCTCAGGGCAATGGAGATGCAGTATACCTTCGGTCGGTAGTACGGCGAGAGCATAGGACTGAATACAGGTTAACAACGCGCTCAGAAGTGGCAAAGAGCCAATAGTGGGATTATCAACACAATGGGCAGACGACCAATCAGACGCCACCGTGCGGTCTATCCGGGATGACAACAGCGTGAGGTAATACGTAACCGGTAAACCTGGATCGGCACGTTTGCAATACGAGCAAGAACCAGTAGGATGTGGCTAACATCGTAGGCCAGTTAAAGAGGGTCAGCGTTGTAACGCTTCTTCTCTCCCACTGCTCTCTGACGCTGACAAATGTTGTACTGTTGCTTTGCTGCCCTGTGAGACTACGACTGTCTGAATGCTCAGCCACGCGCCCAGTCAAGCGAAGGAATACGAAAGGCAAGAACTCGGTAGACAGAAAGTATATATCTACAGGAAAGTTAACACCATTTATTGGTAACCTAAACATGTTAATTTAGAAGGTCAAGGTCGCTCAATATTCCGCATCTAGTTTTCAGCCAGTGTGAGTGAGTCCCACACCACGGGTTAATCATGTTGACGGGATAGTTCGATTCCTTTGACGCGGGTTGGTATTTTCTGACCAAACAATTCTCCCTCGATTCCCAAATTCAGCTCCGCTTGCGTCTCTATTAGTCAGCTAGTGAACGGACAAAAACAAAAACACTGTACGTACTCTTTAAATAATCAATAAGCATCAGTGATCAGTGATCAATGATCGCGTTTAGACCTTCTTCTTGATTCTCATGAGAATGTGTGAGGTATACGCGGTGAATAATTCTCAATGAACATATAACATAGAGAGAGAACAATAAGGGCTACATTTAAGCAGTAACAGTAAACCCGAGTTCCGATCTATAGTGCTGGAAGTTGCCGCAACGACGTACTGGGTAACTTCAAGAAATAGCAAACGATGAGGAGGTAGTGATGGGCTGGCCAGATAAACTCAACGGATCCGATGGACGAACAAATCTTCCCACTGGCTTCAGCAACTGTTACACACGCGGAAGCCCATGTAAGATCAGGGTGTCAGATGAAATGGAGCGAATGCAGGCAGATCAGGAAACATGCAGCCCACGCTTGCAAGCTAGAAACTACTGACACGGATGCGTGCGGTATTAAATAATTCTTCTACCTTCCTGAGAGTAATGGCTCAGGGACAGATAGGAATTCGCAGCGCTCCGCGATATTAAATGCTGTATTCTGTGAACGCATGCAAGTGCTGGATACACCTAAAGATTCATTTCAAAACCGCCTCGCATATCGATAATCTGAGCAGCCAATTATTACAGTAATCCCACCGCACAATTTGATCGCGAAATATGTCGGCCTTTCTTGGTGGAATTTAACTACAAAAGTTCCTATTTACTATAATCACTGTAATTACTTGCATACATCTTCATATATCATATTCTGCTTTACTTCATTGTTGGCCGCGGCTGGGTCGATCTCCTGAGGTGACGGATTGTAGCTTTCAAACAAACAAATGAATCCTTCAGAGACAAGAGACTACAGACTCCCTGACGAGTAATAAAAGCGCTTGATTCAAAAATAGCGATTGACGGCACGCGTTATATGGCCTAAATGAATATATATATATATATATATATATATATATATATATATAAGCGAGAGACGGACATAGGGCTATCAAGTGAACCATGATAATCATATGAACTTACGAGTTGACAAAAAATAAAACAAAGCACTTTTGTTATTTTCAAGGTTTGAAGTGTTCAGCACGTAAATCAATACAATTCTGTACAACTCCACTGATTCCGGTTGCAGACCATGTTTACAAACGAGTTAAGCGAGTAGTACACCTCATCCCTGCGTCCCTACTATAGAAGACGTACCGGTCCAATGGCGGCTAGACGAGAGGTCAGCAATTTTATGTGCTGTCGCCAAGTGAAAGGCTGACTATTACGCAGTCGCCTCCAGCCAGGTCCTTGACGAGCGAATAGAGGGCGACGCGGTAGATCCTCAGGTGCCATGCGTAGAACGTGATTAAGCTATGTCAACTGACGCAGTAAAACCAGTTTGTCGATGGGACAACTCGCATTCCCCAAGATGCGAAGACGGACGTCATCACTGCGAACGCGACGTTGCCATCAAACACGAGCGATCCTTGCTAGATAACCATTGTCGAAGGCAGAAAGACGATGCACGTCACCCATGCGAATTGGCCAGGACCCGCTCCTATACAACAATACTGAAAGAAGATACACTGTAAGCACGGCCCTTTAGCGAGAAGCAGACGTCGCAATGACGCAACAATTGTCTCAGAGTGGCAAATGCTGATCGCGCGTTTGCAATGCGAAGAGAAACTTCCTTGCTGATAGTGCCGTCAGAAGAAACACAGCTCCTAAGACAGACGAAACTGTCTGTTCAAGTTGCGCACTTTCAAGAATGAGCACGGGAGCAGGTACAGGCAAATCCTGGTATACACATATATACCAATCTGTGGTACAGATATTGTGCCATCGGAATCACGGCAGAATAAAGAAGACATGCATCCTTGTTCAGTTTTTCACACATTTGTAAGATTTTTTTGAGGAAAGGAAAGGAAATAACAGCAACACGTAGAAGCATGTCCATCATTGACGTCGGCATTGAGCGATGATGACTTCCAGGGGTTACTAGCCAGCAACATACTTCAGCTCTGAAATCCCAACCAGGTAATCGAGAATAACCGGCGGAAGCCAACTGTTCAGTCAGGTATTTCATGCCGCTTCTCCAAGTCGTAGGATGTCCACCGCGCCACCTCCTCCAGCCTTGCTCAGCAACTGTATGCCAAGTCCGACGCGGAAGACGATGAACGGTATACGCAATACGTGCCCAAGCCGACGCAGTTGGACAAACTCCTTGAACGAATGGCTGCCCCCACTCAAGACATGCTGTCTAAATTCTACATTGGTTGCGTGGTGCACCCACATGGGTAACAGCCCTCGAGCAACGGTGCTCGAAGGCAGACAGTCATCGCAAGTCAACGGTTCGAACAGGCCAAGTGTCGCAACCGTACCACAGCACAGCGCGGACAGTTGCACTTTAAACTCGCACTTTGATGGATGTCATGGCGGTCAAACAAGTTTCCCAGCGTAGAAAAAGCGAGAAGAGCTTTTGTGATACGTATAGAAATCTTGTTTCCAACAGATCCACCTGCAGTAAAGCAGCTTTCTATGTAGACTATCTTAAAGGCATGGTAATGGTGACGTCGATAGCGTACATGGGTCGCGTTAACTCCTGGGTACCAAGCGGTTGTTGCTTACAATATCCCACACTCGTTCGTACATTGGATTGAACAATTGGGTGTAGTGATGAACAATTATCCCTGGTTTTCAAGTACTCTGCAACGCTTTCTCGCTTTGGAATGCAGTTTGGAAATTCGGTATTCAAGACCCAACAACTATTGTTGCAAGTATCCACACGTTGGTTCGTCCGTGTAAGTTGAATAATCCCGGCAAGTCACTGACTCGCGATTAACATGCTAATGTTGATGCTACATGTTCTGTTTCATATATTAGTCACAAGAATGAGTGTAGCTATATTTCCAGTTGTACATCGCTCATACTGAAGTTAGGATAAGTCAGCTATTATCGAGATAAGGTGCGGAAGAGCAAACGTTTCTTTTACAATTTGAATTAGAAATGACCAATCATCTAGATTGACTTAAAAGTAGATTAGTCCAACTGTGGTGTTACGGTAGTGTTTAAATAAATATTGAATTGGAAAATAAATCCAGCACAGCAACAATTGATTTGTCGCGAAGAATAACTGCAACCGAGATGTATGATGTCAGATTGTTAGTAAATTGTAAGCGGTAAAATTACGATGTGAAATCCAGGTCGCATGGGAATATAATACGTTCAGTTAACCACCTTATCGGCGCCATCTGCCCAGGTACTTGATACCCATTGTTTGTCTACGCTCATATGATTAACTTTGCAATGCTCACTGTTTTCATTGCAAATCACAACATGTGTATGGAGATTTAATCTTTCATTGTTTTCTCAAGCCATGTCTAAGTGGTTCCATTCCAAACCCCGCTGTGAAGATACCATAGTGCCCAGGTGTCCCACGACATACTCATTTGAGATATTAGATAAATAAATGTTGTGCAAGATACTTCTTGTAAATTTGCTACAACAGTTTTCACACTCTTTCGAAAGTCGATGATAGAACAGGGAGCAGCGGAATTTACTACATGTGTTGGTGATGTGATAGTGTCAAGGGGGCCATCAGGAAATGTACGATATTATCGTCTACTAACGCTTATAGCAAGAGAGCATGTACATTACACAGGAACCATAAGTCATCTATGTGTTACGGTACATTTAGTTGTGCATCATTCTACCTGGTAACCATACTCACGGCATTGGTTGCCGTATTTCCATATCTGTCTCAATCTGTTGTTGATACCCACACTTCTGCATAAACGTAAGGCTGTCGTTTCAGTTCTCATCCAAACGCTGACTAGCCACTGCTTACTTATAATTCTACGTGCGATTTTCTAAAACTACAGAAATATGGCTGATATTCTTTCATTCAATCCAACCTCATGCACGTACGTAGTGTTATGGTTCATGAGGGTTATTATTTCTTTATCCAGTTTGTGGTAGTCCATACACAAGTGTGAACAAATGCCCGTTCGCAACACTGCAGTATTATAACTCGAACCAGGGACCTTTGGTATGTCAACTGATATCGCACCTTGAATGACTAAGTGGAAACCATTTAGAAACACTTATAAGCACCACACTTCAGCCTGACAGACTGATGGCATTTTCACTCGCGTAACACCATTATCTGCTGGCTCGATGTCTAAATGGGACTCGCCTAAAGTACAAATCCCGCGAAGATCTGTCGTGTCTCGATACATTCCCACTTGACAGATGGATCTTATTACATTTCTTCTCGTGTGACACCGTGACTTATTAGGGGTTGCAATATGAAGTCAATATATCCCATCTCAAGTGTCTCTATACGCCCCCTTGTACTGCTGCCGCGTTCAGGTAAACGCACTGAGATTCAGACAAGTCATCAAGGTTGATTCCTGGAGCAGCGGCAATACGTTGTGACATCCGAATGGAAATGCTTGGGCATAGATAGTATTCTGGACACTGATGAATTGGTCGAGATATGTTAGCGGTCAGAACGAATGACCAGGGGGAAATAAATAGTAACACATGACGGAATGCTTGGTGGTTCTACCTCCCTGTTGATTCTTGCTCACCTCGGACAATAGATGATTCGAACCGGCTCTGGTTTTACCTTACGACACGGATAGCCTGCAGTGGACATAAACGCACCATTTCCCTGCTAACTTGGAAAGTTGCTTACGCCATCTCCGTCATTCTTTTTTGGTGTCATCCTTATTCTATATACCGCATGTAAGTCGGGCTTGGGTGCAGTATCATTCTAGAATGATTAACTACTGACTTGGTGCAATGTGGTATCATTATTGCACCTGCCTAGAACGGATGATCCACAAGTAACCTAACTATTTTAGGCTTATTTAACTCGGTTGTATTTCGTGATGACTTCACGTGTTCCCCACTACGATATTGCACTCATCATGACCTATGCTACGCTATTCTTGCTACCTCCTCAAGCGAGGTCCAGTATGGTTACATACCGAGACAGTGAGCTATGGCATCTTCCTCTTCGTATTATTATTCGGCCGCGATTCACATCACTATGTAAGCTCCATGGTATTGCTCACCATAACCGTAGCTTGACTAGCTGCTCAATGTTAACTTACATGATGCTTAGAGAGCCGGTGCATCGCAGAATAATGGTTCAGTCCATCCATGAGCTCATTCGTAATTGATGTGAGTGCGGTTTTTCCGAGCGATTTGTGTGCTTGCTACGGATCAATGCTAGGGTGGCAAATTATGGGGTATGTTTCCAGTTCGATGGATACGTTTGAATCAAAAGGTTATTATCGCTTGGCCGTTTATGGTACGCATAAAACGTCCAATTTGACATTTGTAACAATGCTCAACGATTGTCCTTCGTGTGACCAGTTTGGAGTATGCATTCGAAGAGAAATTTCCCTGGAAATTCTGTGTCAAGTGAACAATCCCGACAATTAACCGACTAGTGATTATCCCGATGTCGCCATTTCATGTTCCACTTCGCAGGCTAGTGATGAGAGTGAGTATAGTTATAGTTCCAGTTATCCCTCAGCCATACTGAATTTACCGGGGCGTATGAAAACACACGTACTAACCTGATGGAAGACAGACGTGCAGAGACGCCTACCAGAAGTTACATTGCACATGGCCAATCTTTTGGATGGATTAAGTAAAAGGTTGAACCTAACGGGAATGGTACGTCAGTGGGTAATTAAAAAACATCGGAAATGAATCGGCGCATAGCGACAATGGTTTTATGAGCACCGAATGGCTGCACCCGAAACGTACTAGATAGACCGTTAACAAATAGCTTCTGGCCACAGTAGAGTACAGGTCGGTAGGTATAAACGGTTGAGTACTTGGACATTTGCACAATAAATGCGAACACTGTTTGGAAAGTCGCATGTTTGACAGTGGGCAGCGGGACTTAGTTGATGCCACTTGTCAATACCAAAAGTTGCGCATAAATCGTTCTTTGAGTAGGTGCACATACCTCGAGCAGCACATGACCGAAACGGTCGGAGACACAGAGAGCCAGAAGTGGACACTGTATCGCATTCGCATGCTGTGTGATCTCCCCCATCAGCTACTCAAACCAGAGTGTACATGTAGAGGGCAACATCTAAGTGCACACTATTTCACTGTACCAGTAGTCTAGTCATCATTCTACCTAGCAGTTGCTTTACTATTGCCACATCGGGTTCCTTCAAATATGGATGCCCAAGATTTAAGGCAGTCACGTCTAAATGTTGAAGAAAACATCAGCAGTTCGTATTGGGTAGTTATTCTCATGCCTGCGAAAGTGATTGTTAGCCTGACCTCCAAACGAAACCCATACACGTTTGTCGTACCATTGATGATGATGTCTAATGTGTCTCTATCCAGTTTGTGACAGCTCACACTTAAGTTTGGATAAACGCATGTACATATGTTGTATTCGAACTGTCATTGGACACAGATGACGCCAATCTATGTATATATGTATACCGAATGAATTCCACGAGGATTTTCATATCGCTTTTGTACGGTTAACTTAGTGCAGTAAAACGACATTCGAGCAAACCGAAAATAACATTACCAGAACATGAAGAAGGTGAGTTTATGACAAACTCATGTTGATTTCAGGTGTTGCGAATCCAAGGCAAATTTGATCGATGCGAATTCCGTGGACTGCTCAAAAGGGCGGTTTCTCAGGTGCCGGAGAAGGCACTACTGTATGCGGAATAGAAGCACCATGAGTATGTTCCCATTCAATTTACTAATCCAGGCCAATAAGGCGGCGTATGTGGTACGTTTGTCTGCGTGATGAGTAATCTTGCATTTCAGAAGTAGATGTTGCTTGAGCTCCCCTGTGTGGATGCGCCTGATGTGAATGTTGACAAGGTGCCTACCTGTCTATTACCCACTACCTCGTCCATACTGGCTCCAGGAGACAGTTGGTCGTCGCTGGAGGGGACGGAGTGCACCGTCCTCGTGACGGTGCTAGGCTCAAAGAGTGGTTCCATCCTGTGTGGAACGGGCTACGGTCCAGCCACCGCCTCGTGTACGTCTGTGTGTATGATTTCCCAATTAGGCCGGAATGCTTCCGTTCTGCTTGTTGAAGGAGTGTGGGCCGGCTCCGTTGATGAAACGTGGCTCCCATCCACATGCCTCCCGATCTTATTCCTTCGGGTTTACACTGGATATGGGGTGTGTGGGTGGAACTATGGGTGGTGCAGCGCAAGCCACCCATGGTCCCCTTTGTAGGCGCAGGCGTCCTGTGATTGTCCCCATGGACGTCACAGTGACAGGCAAATCCGGATACGGACGCCGCCAAATCATGTAGACTAAATGCTCCACAGTCTCCAGTGTCTAACTAGCAAGAGTGAGTGCAGGTAAAGGCATCTCAAATGTCACTCTCTCCATAAGTGGCTGAGGCGTTGAAAAGTTGCACGAGTAGTAGCCAAGCGAGCTGTAATCTCTCTTGACATACGACCGGCAGAGGGCATACAGCCAACTATAAACCAATTGGTAAATTCGAACGGCTAATTACCAACACCAATAACCAGTCGTGTGACATCGCTTTGCACTTCAAAGACGCAACGCATATGTTGAAGTGTTCGGAGTCCGACAGCCTTGCATAATTGCTGAATTCGATCCTATGAAAATCATGTCATCCGCACAGTCTAGTCTGAGTAATCGACAGTCCAAAAGAATACAGAAGCAATAGGAGAAGATGGGAGAGATAGTTTGGTGATAGAATCAAAGGGGGAACGGAGTAGTCCTTCTGCACTCCAACAGGAGTAGGGAACTCAGAAGAGAGCTTACCGCAGATTCTAACACGGCCCTACACGGGAGTAGTATATGCATTTATCAGTGGATGTATTCCCGGGTACACGAACAACTGCAATCCACGGAATAAGTGAGAACCCATAAGTCAAGACTAGCAGGACAACGAAGTTGTGTTGATGGGGAGTAGATAGTAAAGTGGTCCACTCAAGGAGCAACTTGCGGTCGCCAGCATACAGAAAGGGTCAAGCGAGGGAGACTATTATTAAAGGAGAAAAAGTGAGAGTGAACAACATTCGCCATCTATCGCGATGATGATTAATTGATCCAGAGAGCAATGTTCAGAAAAACACAAACGCACTCACAAATCGGCTACCTGGACACGATCGCGAAGGAATGTGACCACGTGACTGAACTCATCCACGGTGTATTCACGCTTCATTCGATCCAACACTCCATCAGAACCTGCAACGGAAGTAACCCAATAACAACAGACTGGCTTATGGCAAGGCTGATGTGGGGTAAAACAACTACCATAAGAACATTGTCAAAACTAGAATTTGCGAAATAAAACATGCTCGCATCACAAATCAAAACACGAAGATGAAAAAATTCGTTTAAAATGTGCCGGAATACCGGCAGCTCGGGTTGACGACTCAGTCGTTCATTTGTTTGTTGACCAACTCGAGGACTGACTTCGGCCGCAGGGATAAGGTGTAAAGATCACGAGATACAAATAAAAGCTGTCGCTTTCAAAAGTCACTTGCACTTCGATGGGTGATCGACGAACTACTCAGCAAGATTGCATCCTGCATACCATTGTACTGACGGTGCCACCTCGTATGGTGGCGAAACGTTTGCAACCAAACTGCGAAGCTCGACGAACAAATGAAAGGGTGATGCGCTGGCGGTAAGTATGTGAAGTAAAGTAGGAAAGTGCTGGGTTTGATGAGCCAAAAGATGTGATCAGCATAGTTAATCTGCTCAAAGGGCAATTGCCTGAGCAACAGAACTCAATGACGATGAAGCGTGAGGTAAGCATACAAAAGAGACCCCTTGTTCGAAATGACCTGACACAAACAGCTGTAAGTGAGCCTCCCAGACTCACTAAGCATAGTGACTATAGGGACACTGCTATGGAAATGGGAAGAGATCAACGACTATCGCTCTGAAGTTTCGAGGTAGGAGTAGTACATCTTACGGGATTGACACAAATCTCAACAGGAGTAGGGAATGGGTGATGGCACTTCCATTATAGCCCTAGGTGGGTTACCAGCTATAAAATCAAATGGAGGAACGATCGATAACAACACCGAGTACAATAACAGTCATCAGAAAAGACCGCGGCTAGGGTTGAGATAAAAAGGTGTAAATGGCAAGATTGAGAGACAGATATAGCAGTCTGCTGTCAAGTGCTTAAGAACGAGCGATGTCCCACATTAGTGCGGATTAGATGTTTGGTTGACAGCTCCAGAAGAGCTGATCAAACCTATCTAACTTGCTCTGCAGCCTTGGCGAATTGCGTTATCATGTCGACGGCCCGAAAACTGGTTGGAATCAAAACGCAACAAAAAAATCACACAGGAGAAAACGGCGATAGGAAAAAGGTGGAATCTGACAAACAGAGACATATAGCTTGGAACTGAAGCAAAGGAAACCGATGGAAGATTCGCCTGTACATAGAAGTAGGTCGTTAACGTGGTTTCTCCGCTCCTCACCTCCTCGGTATGTGGCAGGCGGCTTCATTGTGAAGCCATCTGCACAAAAGGAAGAAAATCAATTGCCCCTGTGAATTGCCAGATCGGGAATGCAATAATTACATTCGTATGCTTCGGTACCAGAGCTTAAACATTCCTACATGTCTATCATCATCATGAAAAGCAATACATAAGCCATCTGAAATGATGCCTCGCAGCCGTACAACCACGGTGACCTGCGAAACAATCAAACGACCTCCTCGTGGTGCTAGTTGGGTGGTTTCGATCAAACTCGTTCCAGCGAATGGTTCCGTGTCAGTGTTATGGGATGTGGTTGGTTTCTGCCGGTCACACGTTCACATTTAAAAAAGCCACAAATGTCCATTTAATAACAATGTGACGAGGCGGATGTGACTCATCAATAACTAAAGTCACCGCTTCGTGCGCATCGAGATGAGCATACCCTATCCACGAACGTCAATCACCCACCTTGAAGGGTTCCTGTGATCTACACTTGCACTGGTGACCCGATCAAACACAATCACGGATGCAGCGTTACAATAAAAACTATCTTCCAAAATTGCCAAATGGTTGGAGGAATGCAGTTCAGATTTGCCTGTCACTGTGGCCTCAGTAGGACAGCCACAGGACGCCTACACCTACACAGGGACCATGGATGGCTCGCGCTGCACCAGCCAGAACTACATACATACACCCCGATTCAAATGAAAACCCGAAGGAATAAGAATGGGAGGCATGTGGATGAGAGTCACGTTTCATCGATGAAGTCGGGCCACATTCTTTCAACATGCACAGTAACTGCATTCCAGCCTATCTATGCAGGGAATCACGCGTAGCAAACGTACACAAGGGGATGGGGATATGCCGTAGCCCGTTCCACACAGGATGCATAGAACCACTTTTTGAGCTAAACACGGCCACAAGGACCATGCATCCCGTTCCCCCAGTAATGGTTCACAGGCTCCTGTAGCCGGTAATCGAGGTGGAGGGCGTTAGACAGGTAGACACCTTGTTAATATTCACATTGGGCGCAGTCACACCTCGGATAGTAAACAACAAACCCGGAATTCGAAGTAAACTAAATGCGCAAAATTGACAAGGAATATACAACAGCATAACAGAATTGAGCAAGTCAAATGCAGAGGAATACTTTACATTCAGGTAAAAGGAGATCTAGTGCAAGTGCATGTTGACGTAGTCCAACTGCGAAGAAAGAAGCATCATGAATGCAACATCAACCACAGCATGAAGTACCACTTTGAAGAGGAGGAATAGGAAAGAAAGGAAACACGCAAACTGGATAATGAATATGCGGTGGAATGACAGAACAGAGCAAATCATAAAACGTGTAGGAATTCTGAGCTGTTGTTGGGTGATCTTAGGCAAGTGTAAGTGCAAATTAAGGGATATCAAGCGAACAACATATATACACACATACACAAATCTATTTTGCAATTGGTTAACTTGTAACACAGTTATTCAATTACCGATCTTTCTTGTAAGTGTTGCTATCATTATGAATATGCAGATGTACCTCATTGTCGAAAAGAAAGAGTTTATTTATTTATTTAAAAACAATAAAAGGTAGAGAAGAAGAATCAAGCGCAAAACTTTAATGTCCTAAACAAGCACTCAGAGTCGTCTATACCTTGTCCACAATATGCCGTCACAAACAGCTGGATGTCATGCAAAGATAAGGCGACATTACCGAGACAACTTCATTGGGGCTTTCACTGACCCGTGTTATAATCAGCCATTACCCCAAAGATAGCTCAACACCAAATACGCTTTAAACAGGCAGTCCCATTAAGAGACGACAGCAGACACGATACCGGTGTCAACCCCGAGCTATGTCCTGTAAAGCCCCAAGCCAAACACAAAGCGGGTCACATGGATAGCAGACTGGAAGGCGAAACAGACCGACACCATAGAGTCGGGTCATAAGCGATTTTATTTCCCTCAGTCAAGTTACTTTTTGCACACCTCAGACATTGCGCCAACCAACATTTGGCAAACAAAACAAAGTCGTCCTCGGTAAGCGGTGACTAGACATATGTAGTACGTGCCCAAGCCAACGCAACTTATTCATTGCTGTCTGATGTTCTAAGGAACTAGCCTGGTTATCACCGCCTATTATTTGCTTACGCAAATCATTGTTGCGGACACGCTGGTGCCACCCGAGACTGACAATGCTTCACAAACCACGAGGATCGAAGAACTGAAGGCGCTGCAATTCATCAGATCGTAGGGGCCAAGTCTCATTTCCATAGAGTAGGACGGCCCTCATTATGGTCATTTGTACACAGCTCTTTAGACGGAGGGAAACTCCATTTCTCACGCCACCTATGTTGCAAATTCAAAAGGGCAGTTCCAGCTTTTGCAATGTGTGAAGAGTGTCTTCAGCTATTATGAGCCTATCGTTACGGATACAGCTGCTAAGGTAGTTGAAGTGATCAACGAGTTCCACGCCATCAGGGGTTCAGGGGGTCATCAAGTGGCTGGTGGTCTTGCAACAAAACTTTGCATTTCCAAGGTGCGAATCGCATGTAAGACGATGGGACCACTCTAGGGGGGTTATCTAGGGTTGATTGGGTTGCCCCGAAATCGCTAAGCAACAAGAGGATATTATCAGTGTAATTAAAATAAACTAGTCTTTCACCAGGTAGCACATCAACGCCTGTATCGCAAGGCTTCGCAAAGAAACATTTCATGTTGCAGTCAATGACGAAGTTCAACACTAATGGGGAAATCGGACAACACTGACGAATGCCGATCGTTATCGAAAAGACATCCGACAAATCACCGTAGACCCTAACGCGACCTGTCGTTTGAGGATAGAGCGCGTAAAATGTTATATAGTTCATGGGAACATCTTTCCATATAAGTAATACGAACAGAATGCATCGATCGATTTATCCCAACTCGCAGCTATTGTCGGCCTGCGGTACGTGTGGCGCTACTCCAGCACTAGCCGCAGAGTGAATATATGGTCTATACATCCACGTCCAAGGCGGAAGCCTGCTCGCGCCGCAGCGAGGCGACGCACGAGAATGGAGGCGAGTAATTTTGTCACCACCGGCGTTAAGCTAATACGCCTGTGGTTAGCACAATCGATGCGACTGCCCTTCTTGCAGATTGTCACTATAATTGATTCACTTAGGTTAGCTGAGACAGCGTCTGCCTTCCAGACTTGTTCGAACAGGGAGGTCAGTGCTTTGCAGATGACCTCACTGTCACCCTTTAATAAATAAATAAAGTATATTGCTAGACTGTTGCTAAATGCTACACTCTGTTGAAATTTAAAAGGATGCTGTGCGATGGAGTCGGTATGTGTAAGTGCACTTGCAGATCTGGCTGCGGCCGGTACCGGTATAACAATTTGTCGCAATAATCCTTCTGGCATTAACGGGTAATTCTCAAGTGCTCATGGGCCAGTGAAAACGAAGTGGATAACTCCCGATCTAGCCCTACTACATACTCGGTAATGAAAAACGAATCAGAAACAATGGCGGAAAGGGACATACCAATTTATAATCTCCTGTCACGTTTAGTTAACATGAAAAGTAGGGTCTTGTACGTAGGCGACTGCACACTAGATCGGTAGACCATTAGACACCGTGAAAATGCGACATCATATTCGCGGGTATTGTGCTCCCTCGAACTATCTAGTAAAATGGCTTTCAGTGATCGATGGATGCGCTCCATTTAGCTGTTACCAAGGGGATAATAAACGATAGTGCTGGTTTT